TTCACTTGAGAAACTTCCTATTGAGGTAGGTCGAGGGAAAGATGAAAGTAACGAGAGTCGAGGGTTCGAGCCGATGGTCGGCAACGGTTGGGATGCCGGTTGAGCGAACCAGACGTTGAACGCGTACCGTGGAACTTGGGGATGTTGTCGTCGGTCAAAAGGTCAGGGTCCCTCGAGGGCCACACAAAGTCGGTCAATATCTTTTTGATGATCGTACTCGTGATTCGAGTCTAGTCGATGTGTAGAATCGTTGGCGTGGTTGCATCCGAGGACGACTCAGGGTCTCCGACGTGTATAACCCGGTCGAGAGTTGAGGTGTTTTTTTTTCTCAAAGAATCTCGTAGAGAAGCAGAATGAGAGAACGGATAACGCTGTACTGTTGTTGATGGGCGTTTGGTGTTGCCGAACAACGATCGATGGGCGAGAGCGAGAGAATGACTGTGGGTGGAAGGGGGAGAGAGGAGAACGTGAGGGTGGATGAACGAGGGTGAAGCGCCAGTGAACAGTGGGACTTGGGCACGCACAGGACTGGACAGGCTGGGAACTGACGGGCGAGGGAACGAAAGGACCCGCGGCAGGAATTGGAAGGGACTGGCGTGTTTTGTTGGAAGTGGGTTTGATGAGGAAGGAAAGCGAGATTGCTGCTCCACTCAGGGGGTCATGCCACAACAGAGGGAGTGTGTTGAGTGAAGGCTCGCCAGTCATCATGCCCTGTTGACCGTTGGCACCTACCCGCAGTCGCATCGTAGCACACGGACTCTGCACACCCGGGCGTGTGGCAAGAAAAGCCGCATTCGGCGACTAATTGACGTGAACCAATCAACACGATTTGTTCCTGACCTAGGTCTCCTCAGTGCCAAATTGATTGGTCAGAACCATGTAGATCCATCCCAAAGGCCCGCGCTGTCAGGCAACAGGCCTACCATACAAGTGAAGGATAGATGACCAGGTATCTGCTACCTTCCATACGAACCTTGGCCCTCTCTTCCTATTCACATTTGTACGACGATATCCAGACAGTGCTTAACACCTGCCATGTTCACAACAGCAGAAGCGAGTCTTGGATACCCCCTCGTCCACGCCAGCGGATCAAGACGGCGTGCATTTGAGCCTCCGATCCACTCCCCTCTTGCCCATCTTTCGTGAAGTAGTGGGTGTGGTAATTCCTGGTCCATACCATGTGCTACCACCTACTTTACATGGTACTGCTACATGTACTACCATGTACGCAATGGTATGGTTGTCTTCACGAGGTTCCTTTTATGCAACCGTCAGGGGCGGTAGGATTCCTGGGTTGACTCTCACGACTCGCCTCAATGATCATGTTACAAGGCCGTGAACAGGTCGTCAACTTGGACATTGGAGCAGGCCATGACAGGCATCGAATCGAATCGAGAAGCCTGCTTGCTTTGCTTGTCGAAGCATCCAGCCCCCTTGCCCCCTTCATGACGCCCCTTCGTCAGGCCCGATCAGCGCTCAGCATTTCCCACTGGAGTCAAGGCACACGGATCGCCGAAGGGCATGCGAGACAGCCAGGCCGGCCCAAGAGAACGAGCACAAGACGGGCAGCAATGCACAAATGTGCCAGCCACAGAACCAAGTAAGTACACAATCAAGGTAGACAAGCATAACTTGTGTCCATGATTGCTTCTCCGCTCGACAGCACAAATTGCGAAACGCCGCCGAGGGGGTTCCAAGGTCGCAGCCTGAAACAGACACTTTCTGCCCGCTTTCTTTGTGCAAAGCGCAGTAGCTTTCACAAGGGTCGTCACCAGCTGAAGCGTATCGTCGAGCGATGGACACCACCTCTGCTGAGCCGTCTGTCTGCTTTTGGGCACATTGCGACCTGGATGACGAGGCCAGGCTCCGCTCGACTCGCCCACGACAGAGCAACAAAACCACCCGGTTTTATTTGTTCGGGGAGGCTGCAGTGTTGCACATGGCGGCTTCGATACCGACTGCTATGGCGCTTGTGGCTTTCGGCTGTGCCGCTGCCGGCACACTGTCGTGTCGAAGCTCGCGCCCACCTCGATCTCGACTGCTCTGTCAGGCGTTCCAGCTTCTCTCCTCTCGGTGTCTTGGAAGTGGGCCGATCATTGCCAGCACAGCCGCTGCTACCTCGTGTCGCTCTTCGAATGGCTGCCACAGTTGCCATGCAAACATTCCGTCAGGAGTGCGTCCTAGTTGTGGAATGCAGCTGCCCTATCGATATTCGAGAAACAGCTTGATTGACTTTTAGATTCTCGCATGAGGCACAGCCTGCTTCGTAAAGTCAGTTCGGCCACAAGTGGGGGCTAAAGATGCAGGCATCCCCATGGCGGGTCATGGCAATCATTAATCAAGGACATGCTCGCTGCAGCAAGGTTCTCCCCCGTTGCCCCAAGGCTTTCTTCGGTCGGCTTGGGTAGAGTATACTCGCTCTTGGGCCATTTCGCCCCACCCTCCTCCCACATTCCCTCTCCCTCTCAAACCATCCGGTTCTTCCGTGTTCAGCATTTACGCGACATGCATGTGTCCTCGGCCGTCCGGCATGGATACGAAGTGCCTGTGCCATCTATCTGTTCGGCGCTCGAACCGGCCTCCGCGCGCTGTCCGCCGCATGTGCAGCTCGCTCTCGGGCTGCACATTGCTTATTGTTTAGACCAGCAGGTTAAAGAGATGAGGACGTTTCTAAAGAGGACCACCGGCCTCCGGGTGTTTGCGTGATCGTATGCACTTATGGCCCCTTTCGGGAAGCTTTGTCGCCAGCGGCGTGCTCGTCCACGTTGTGGATGCCTGGGACGAGCGGAGTACTCAGCCGACTCACATGTTCATCACAAACTCTACTTCAGTCAAGCTCTGCTTTTCTTCATCGAATACGACGATCCTTGCATGTACACGTTCAACACACATCCGGCAATGCTCGACCAACCGTGCCCCAGCTAGGATAATCGAGCACGCGTTGAACGCTCCTGGCAGATGCATCCGATCAATACCTACCTGTAGACCGCTCGGGATTACTGGCGATTCAACCCGCAGCAAGTGGAAAGCCCAATCCCTTTCCATGACGTGTCGATAATTGTGCAATACAACTGTTTGAGAGGTTTAATTCCGCCGTCCCCACTATCCGATCTGGCCGGACTCTTGTTAACGGGCTGAGGCATAGCGGGCTGGAGGAGAGGGCAAGCCTCTGTGGCGTGCACCGTCGTTCTGGAATGAAATGAGCTCAGCCGGTCCACACACGTTCACGCTCTGTTGGCACTCCCTCTCTTTTCCCCCACTCCGCCGGACGAATGGCCAGGAGGTGGAATCGCTACGTTGATAACAAGCTGAATGACTGATTCGTAGCGCGCCATGTCAGGTTGCGTAGACCGCATCTCGCTCGATCTTCTCTTCGGCAGTCGTGTCCGGGGGGCGTCCTGTCTTAAGGCTTTCTTTTCCGCCGACAGCTCCATCCATCGCCCGAGCCTTCATCCTTGTTTCTTTGTTTTTTCAGCTTTTTGCATGTAGTCGATACACGTTGGTGGCTGCGCTTTTCAGGGGCTACCAGCGCCCCGTTGAAGATCTGTGCCTGGTTGGCTCCCGCGGGCTACGTGTCTAAGCCCTGTCCGCCGAGCGGAAGAGCGTGGTCTGGAACGTCGAAGTGGCTCGAGCTCGGGTATGGTGCTTGCGTCATGCTGTCGAAATCGGGGAACAACGCGGAAGAGGTGGGTTTCACGGATGGCCAGTGTTCATTGAGTTTTCGTTCAGTACAGATACCTACTGAGTAAGCACGTCGAGCAGTCTGAAGTCTTTTCCAAGCAGCATACCAAGTGCAAGGTGTATGACAACCATGCAGGTGAGCTCGTACGGTGGTGATGTGATGCTTGGCAGCTGGCGCGAGTGGGTTGTGCGTCTTCTCCTAGTGCGGTCGGAATCTGACCAGGTGCTGTCTCATGTCTGACTACGCGCCTGCGGCTCGTGTACAGACGTGGATGCTAGGGCAAGGCATCCGAGTAGAAAAGCCGAGAATGTCCGGCACTCTGCCGTGTCTGATGGGGCTGATCAGCCGGGCTGGGCTGGTGGATCCGGCCGCTTTGAAAGATGGCTTCGGCGCCGGCCCGGCTCGGCACCCGGCACAGCAGGAAGGCTGATGACGTGAAATGTAGCAAGGCTGCTTCAACTCAAGCTTCCTCATGCGCACAGCGAGCGACGCGGTGCGGTGAGCACGGCAGAGATCTAAAATCAGACCAAAGTCACACTATCATGATGGCTATTCTGTGAGAAAAGCCCAGCCCAGCACTGGCCTGTGTAACTTTGACCTCTCAGTCTGCCTGCCTTTCGTCAGGTGAGGAGGTTGGTTTCCACAATTCATTGAGTTGCAAGCAATTGACAAACAATCATGGTTTCGAAGGATATTGCGCTTGGTGCCTGCCATGTTTTCTAATTCTCTTCCTCCCAAGTGGTCATCGCCGCTCCTCCGAGAGCAAGTCTGAAGCGTCATGTGTAGACGATGAGTAATCCGTGTTGTGGCCGACATGATTTAAATGCGTAGAGGCAGACGACCGTGTCTGATCAGGTATCACCATCACCCCAATAACGAATCCTTTCGAGCTCGGGAGATCTAGCCAGCAACCGAACTTAAGGCATGATGACCACAGGTGGTTTTGATATGAGCTCTGCCTTTTCACCTGCAAGCCGCCCATCGTCGCGTCAGGATCACGTCAGCCTCTACTTATCATCTGGAGCACTGCGTGACCCTGCTCACTGAGTACCTTGGGTATAGCTGCGCTGTAGTCGAACGTCGATTCTCGAGATAATCAAGCGGTCACGGGCTTTGGTATCAGTGGATGGCCTGATCTAGACGTCCACACATGCCTATGCGACCATACAGCACCTCTGATGCTGAACGGCGTGTCTTAATACGGAGAAAGCCTCAGATCTTTCTTTTATTTTCTTTTCTCAGTACGTTATATGCACACATTAAGCCGTGGCAATTTCGGTCTCGTCTGCGCACGGAGGTAGTCCTGCCGCAGCAGCTGGAGATATACGCCAAGACACCTTCGTGGGTGAACAACATGCTGGCACTAGCAGTTCCCTGACCTACGATCGTACGTTGCATTCCCTAGGTAGGTAGGTAGTTCCCTCGAACTGGAAATATCTGCTGGGACTTGAGGTGTATGTTGTCATGGGGTGAATCTCGCTCGCAATACTAGTGACTGCTATTGTATGCCTCAATCTGCTGTCAGTTCCTCCTGCTGAACTACCATGAAGGGCTCAGTGAGGTTTTACCTGAAGGTTACCATTGGCCATTCATGGTATTGTGCTTATTCTTGTGAATGCGCATTTGGACCCTTCGCCAAGAAAATATGACCGTTATGGTATGTGGTCCGCTGCAGCTCAACCCTGTGAGCCGCCAGGATGCTTCGAGATGCATATGGCAGTTGGCGCTAGTATACCAGTGAATACCCACCCATATCTTCGTGGCTAGGCACAAGACCCATCATTGGTACAAACATGCTCAACAATAAGTGCATGCTGCCATACAACCAACACGGCCATCAGACTGGAGCGGGGAGCCGCTGATCGTACATGCGGAAACAGTCCTTCCTTGCGCGAGTCCTGCATCTTCAGCGCAAGGAACAATTACGCTGGGCCCTGAGACGCTGCCAGGCCGACGGCCTGCTCAATTTGCCACCGCTTCTTCGTGCCAACAGAAAATTATAAAAAGACGGCGCACCCGCTTGTGTCTTCTCTTCAAAACCCTTCACTCCTCAGAGCATATTCTCACGTCAAATTGCTTCAGAAAGACAGTCATCTCTTCTCTTCCAACATGGTCAGACTTACTTTCCCGGCCCTGGCCATGCTGTCGTTGTTGCCATTCGTCACTGCTGCTCCAGCGGCAGCAAGTCCGGACAACGTGGAAATCGTCCCTTTCTCCATCGAGAAATGGGCTACCGACATTGGCAACGATCCCGATGGAGACCATCTTTCTGTCCAAGAAGCTGTCATTGCATTTGAAGCTACATTGAACAGCACTCGACTGCAAAAGCGATCTCCTATCTGCAATCACATTCCTTTCAAGGAATGCCGTGTACGTCTTTCATCGCAGCCTCTTTGATAGCCTAACCAGCCTTCTAACATGTTCAGATTGCGGATGCGGTGGCGTGTATCAACGAGGCCAGCCGAAAAGGGTCACAATCTGCCAACATCGCAGCAGGACAAGCCTCCCGATCCTGGTGTGGTCGTGGTACAGCGCAGCTGTGGGCGTCAACGAATGGCGCCTTCTTGCAACAGGTGAAGCAGATCACTTAGTACGTTCGCCTCTGTGTCCCTCACAACTCTGGTCGGGCAGTTGCTCACAGCTCAACAGCCTCCAAGTAGCCCAGTCTGGCGGCAAGATTATGGATCACTGCACGAGAGCTGATGGCAGGGTGCAAGGATCGTGGGTCTTCAACCAGCAGATCAATGTTGTTCTCTCCACCAGACTCAATTGATAAGCTAGATGGGGACCTCGAGCTTCTACGTGGCAGGCTGCCGCACTGTTAGCTAGGCATGCTGAAGTGGATGATAATATTGATGTAGATGAAGCTTTGAGGCACTCGTTTGGCTTACCAAAGCATTTGTGTAACGTCAAACTGTACATATATGCCGGAGTCTCCCCTACCTTCATTCATGGTCAAGTCTCAGCATTTCGTTCCTACCACGGAAGGGCTTGACATCAGGTACGCAATATAAGTTCTGGGACCAAGGTAGTGAGATGGCCCGCACACATGCAGTTGCGGCCGTGCCCGTTGCTCCGGAACCCTCAAAATCCGATCCGGCTTACGTCAACGATCCCCCCTGTTGTTTATTTCGGTCAGGCTGCATCCGCGATCAATCGACCCTCGCGCGCCGATTCGAAAGCGCCGAAACAAACTGAATGGCCTGCGGTATGCATCTCGAGGTGGGCGTTGTGCGGTTAGCGCTAGCAGATTGATCAGGTGTACTGCGATGTGCTTCGTTGGAGAATTTCAGTAGGCCCACACCGCTGATCGCTGATCGGTCGCCCGTAAGGCAAGTTGAGGTCCTTGAGTTCGAGACTGAGTGATAGGGCCTAGGCGTCCCAAGAAGACATCTTGGCCAAGGTGACTAGTGTCCCCAATCTCGACAGCGATGGCTCACGATGAGCTTCGAGATACGCAGACCACGTTTTCAACAATGCATCATGAGTGGGGCGCCGCGTTGGCACAAGGTTACCGTATCGGATACGGCTGGCATGACAGAAAGACCCAGAGTGGGCTAAGACTCCACCTGCTCAACTCCTCCGCAACCTAAATGCTGACAACTTTTGCTTGAAGGGGTAAGACTCGTGTTCCGAGTCGAGATGCACGGGGCGCATGGTAACATTCATCAAACGTTGTTGGCGCTAGCAAGTTGGTGGTTGAGAGGCAAGGAGCAAGGGGATTGAAGTGCGCTTGGCAGCAAACTGACGATGGTAAGGTCTTGTACCCGATTGGCTGCTCCTCCACTGAGGCAGTTAGGTACCTGACGCGACATGCAATTCGCTGCGGAGGGGCGGCGTCTGCATGCATTTCGATCATGAGGGCCCTGTTGGCCAAGAACATGAGGGTTGACTGGGGGCCAAAAAGAAATGACAGAATCTGATCTTTTTCACGCATATAAGCGCTTCGCACACAGCAGATTGGTCTTCCGATTGCTCCTTTCACTGCTTCCTTGGGTCAATTTCTTGTTTAGCTGAAGCATTTCGATATCATGGTCACCTTCACCTTCCCTGTGCTGGCCGCCGTGGCTTTGGCTCCTTTGGTTGCCGCCTCCCCGGCCGCCGAGGCTCATATTTCTGCGCAGCCAGCCCCTTTTTTCTCGATTGAGAAATGGGTCTCTGACTACGCCGAGAACCCCGAAGGAGACCATTTGTCTTTGCAGGAGGCCCTTGATGCATTCTTAGCGGGGTTGAACACCGCCGGCTCGGAGAACCATGCTTCTTGTAACCAGCTGGAAAGGCAAGAATCCCGCGTAAGTTCCCGTCAATAATTCCACCACCTGGCAAAAATAACATGCGCGACTGACAAGACCAGGTCACGGATGCTGTCCACTGCATTGACCAGCTTCGCGAGAACCCGGACAATGAGGTCACAATGACAACGTCCCGGCAACTCTATTGCGCTCACGGCACTGCGCAGATATGGGGAGGCGCTGGCCAGAATGCCGGAGGGAAGACAACCTTGTAAGCTCACCGTAACCGTTTCGCAATCGTTTCTGTACTGACTTGAAGTACTCAGTCGCGAAATCGCCGAGACTGCTAGTCGCATCATGGACAGCTGCACCAGGGCTGACGGTTGGGTGCAAGGAACAGATGACACCACCAACGGTATTGCCATCCATATCTCATCTGAATTCAACGCGTAGCGCTGTGTTGCTGTTGGTGATTTCAATCCTTTTTGCCAATCAGGCACCCCTCTCTGCGGCCAGTACTGGTGTTCAAAAGCCTTGACCTGGATGATCATAGCCTGTGACGTGCGTAATGGAGCCTCCTTGATAGAATCCGAGGTCTTTTTGTTCGCGAAACGTCCTAACTTCCGTGGCCTTTTCCTTTCACAATCGGCGTGCTTGTTCAGTTCATCAAGAATACAGAATCTAATTCAATCAAACAATGCAGAGCACATACGTCACGTCTAATCAGGCCAGCCGCCAGACTCTCTAGGGTAGATAGAATACAGTTATAGTTCGATGGAAAGGTGCTTGAAAATGGCAGCCACCCTCTCAAAAGATTTCTTTAGTCTTGCTGGCCTCAGCATGCCCTGACCTGGCATGATGCCTGGCCCTTCGTCCAGCTCGCTCCACAGAACGCTGATCTGCCGCGCGGATAGCAGACCTGTGCCGCTACCCTCAGGTGACGAGACTATCCCCAAAGCTTGCTCGAACTTGACCAGGATCTGGACAATGACCTTGGCAAACATCATACCCTGCACGCATGGCTTGACTAACGGCAAGCCCCCAAGTGTGAGTCCGTTGATGGGTGCGATGGGATCCGAACCAATGCGTTCGATCCGGGTTGAGAGGTGCTCCAGAATCAGCTCGAAGAGGGTGATCAGCTGGGTGTAGATGCTTGTGAGGGTCAGGGCGAGAGGTGCCAGCAACGGCTCGCCCGCGGCGGCCGGATATGGATGAGACGGAGTCGCGCCCGCAGGATAGACTTCACCTTGACTGGATTGCGGCGAGGGGGGAAGAAAGCTCGCCAGAATCTTGTCCGCGTTGGCGAAGCCACCCAACAGCCCCCGGGTTGTTCGATTGCCGCGTAATCGCGTCATGATGAGATGAATCTCCTGCGATGCCTTCAGTATGAAATCTGCCAACGTGGTGTTGTCGATGAAGAGCGGACTGTCATCGTAGATGATGCGATTGAAGTTGATGTCAGACTTATGCATCTCGGCGGCCGTAACGCGAATGTGCAAGTCTAGATTCATCTTGGAAAGCTTGGATATGGCTTCCGACACGGCTATATCGTCCACCTCGCCATGATCCAATATCGGCTTTGTCATGGTAACTCTGGTTGTTTCGCAAAAGTCTTCAGGGGGAGAAGGCATGGCCATCGGCGTCTGTGTTGTGTATGGGGCTTGCGACGACAAGTCGAAATCCAAACTCGGTTCAAACATGTATGGCCCATCTCCGTAGTGATCAAGTGTTGGTCCCGTGAAGGTGTTTTGATCGTAGGACTCGACGTCAAAAGATGGCCATATTGCTGTTTCAAGAGCTTCATTGTCGATGACTGGTTTTTGCGACGGAGGCGTAGACGTGGGGGATGGAGACAGGTTGCCAAGATTCCAACCAAGTTGATGATTCCCTTGCAGAGTGATCGGCCCAGGAGAAGTGTTCGGGGAACTTGAGTGGTGCCCCGAATACTCACGGTTCAGCGTGGCCTGGTGATGCACAGGGGACGTGTTTGTGTTCTCCAAAAATCGATTCTGTGCTGTTTCGGCCCCCGTGATGACTGGGCGCCTCCTAGGCCTACCAATCTTCTTCTGCTGCCCAGTCACACATTCGATGCCAAGCAAAGTGCAACGCGAGCATTTCGCGTCACTGGAGCTGAGACGCTGGCATCTTGCCTTGTGCTTCCTGCACACTTCACACGATATACGCTTCTGCGAAGGATGAACTGTTGAGACGCCCATTGACAGATTCGTAATTGGAGATGTAAGGGGTTGTTGTATGAATGAACGTGTGCAAGTCAGGATGGCTTGACAGGCGATCGGTGTGTGTGGATTGAGATTGAGGTGCAGCGCGGCTCTGGGCAGAAAGGGGCAGTCTTGCAAAGCTGTTGTCGGTTCCACGGGCTGGAACTCGTGGCCTCTTTATGAAAGGCTCCGCGGAGGGTTTGGTCAAGAGCAGGACTTTCCCTGACTCGCTGAGACATGTTCATCTTCTAGGCCCTGATAACATAAACTTTGACTGGTTTCGGGGTTGCCGTTTGGCTCAATGAGCATGGGCCGCGATAATCCACCCGAGGACTCGGGGTTGACAGGTACATCAATTCCTCGGCGCGTCGTGCCCCATGGCAATATCTATGTCCCAAAGGAGCGGCTTAATGACGACGAAGAACTTCATCGATTCTTTCGAAGGAACGTTTTCTTTTTCCATGCAAAGTAATGACGCATCAAGCTATTTAGCCGACTGCATTCTGTTATACCGGAGGTTTGAGGCGAAACCTGTGGTCCTACGGCTTTCATGTCTGCGAGACGGACACTGCCTCACCCTTGAATTTATGGCCGTGGCTATGATGATGATTCATCGCGGAAGCTTTCGTGATTGGAAAACACTCTACTAGACCCTGCGTAAGCATTGGTATACAGACATTTCTGACCAGAGATGACCGCAAACGTACATCCCGCCCAAGACTATATCTCTTTCCATCGTGAATGATAATGATGGCGTTCCTCACATTGATTGACCAAATCTGCAAGATAATCTTCTCCTGCACCCTCAGCTCCTCGAATCAACAGGCCACTCTTGTCACAGCCACCTTTAACTTCGACAGTCGTCGATATGGAGGCCATCACTCCAGACCAGCAAACGCTGGCCGCCGACACGGATAACGAAACCGGGGACTACAGCTTCAAGTCGCCGCCACCACCTGTTGCCAGCAGCTCAGCATGGCACATGGCCTCTGAAGTACACGAGAGGAAAAATAACGATGAGTCAGGCGGAGAGAAGCCTCGAAGACTCGGTGTAACCTGGGACAGCCTCACAGTCAGGGGCATCAGCAGCGACGCCACGTTCAACGAAAACGTCGTTTCTCAGCTATATCCCTTCCACAAGAAGAGCAAGGATGCTCCTTTGAAAACTATCATACATAACTCGCACGGTTGCGTCAAGCCCGGAGAGATGCTCCTCGTTCTCGGACGACCTGGCTCTGGGTGCACAACGCTCCTCAGTGTGCTCTCGTCATTACTTTTGATGGAAAA